GAGAATGAGAATCTTAATCTGGAAGATTATGAACCAATACAGAGTCAACAACCATTGCAAATGTTAAATTACGACAAGCCAACAACTTCCAGAAAAAGAAAAACAGTTGCAGTAAGATATGAAGAATCAGAAGAGAATGCTGAAGAAGTAGATGGAAACACTACTGTCAACTTAAGAACCAGAGTAGGACCAGCACCATTTATTAAGTTGATTAAACACCTTGATGAAAATAAGAGAGCAGCAGTTGAAGAGATTGGGTTTGGAGGCTTGCTCAACCTCAGCTTTGACATATTTTATGGAGACTGTGTACAATTTCTATTACAAAGCCTGCAACCAATATCAGCTCAGCTACAACTCACAAATGGTGAGTTGTTGAATATTGAAGAACAGGATGTTAGAGCTATTTTTGGTTTGCCGATGGGAAAGATTGATGTCATGGAAGCAAATGCCAAAAATGAAAGAGAAGAGTACATTGAATTTTTGAAGCAGTGGAGAGTACTGAGGAATTGAAAAGGGCAGCCCAGAGACAACAAGAATGATCCAAAAAATCATTGATGATGATGACTGTGGAGATGTTTTTAAGAGATATTTTGTGGTGTTCATAGTTTCATGCCTCATCAGAGGCAATCAGAGTATAAAGAGCAACTTCAAGATCTTGCTCTCTCTGATAAAAGTTAATGAAATCAAGAACTTGAACTGGTGCAAGTATACAAGACGATCATTAATGGACGCTAGAGAAGAATGGCAAGCTCAGCCAACAAGGATGTTCACTGGACCATTGTTGTTTCTGATGATTTGCTACTTCGATAGAGTGCAATTTAAAGGTCAGGTTTTGGATACTCTTTATCCAACAATCAGAATCTGGAGCAAAGAAAGAATTGAAAGGAGAATAAAAGATGAGAGGAAGCTGGGATTCGAGCTCGGGAAGGTGATCCCACAAATTATGATAGCTGATGAAGAGAAAGAAGAAAGAGAAGAAAATGAAGAAGCCAATACAGAACAAAATGAAGATGAAGAGATGATTTCTAAAGAGGTAAATTTTAAATAAACACTATATCTAGGTTAGTTGCTTCACTGATGTCACTGGAGTTACACAATATGAATGGAAGTTACATACTGTTGATCATTACTTACATATACTTGAACTAAAGTTACATACAATTGATCATAACTTACATACAGTTTTGAATGAAACATAAGTATATTGAACTTAAGTTACATAGATCTAAACTAAAGACACATACAACCACACACGAAGTTACATAATAATAAAATGTAGTTACACACGATATACAACAAATTACATACAGTATAACTAAAGTTACATACAACAAAACAGAAAGTTACATAAGCTTACGCGCAAGTTACATACAATATCAAAGAAGTTGCATAGATAAAGTTACATTGCTTATATTTCATATCTAATGGTATATGACACTTACAAATGAAATTCAATTTTTGTAGGACAGTGTCAAAGAAATAATTGCTGTTGCACAAAAGTTCAGTGATGCTTTTGTGGAATTCTCAAAACTTCCAGCAACAATTTCTAAAACATTTCCCAATTCTGATATCTTGAAAAAGATATACTACCTCCGTTCTTAAATAAATGCAACACTTTGACTTTTACACTATTCACATGTTCTACTTTGACTACGTTTTATTTATTAATGTAATAATATTATTTTATGAAAAAAATATTGTTAAACTTGTCTCATTGTAAATTTTCATAATCTAATTTTTTTAATTTTTTTACTAATACAAAATCATTTATATTAATGGTCAAAGTTGTGTTTCGGCAAGTGTGAAATGTTGACCGTTGCATTTATTTAAGAACGGAGGAAATACTTGACAACAGCGGATTACTTCTTCAGACAAGCTAATGGCAGTGCACAGGAATCAAAAAAAGTGAGGTTGACAGAAAAGTGCACTCTTGATGAGGACGATGATTTTTTCAATATAACAGGGGTAATGGAAGCCCTAGATAAACCGTTTGCGTTGAGGTTGTCAATCTCAATCGATTTCATCTTAAGTTCTATTGTTGCTACTATCGGGTCAATATAAGGCACATGTTCTATTTTGACTTAACATTAAGTTTTATTAATGAACGCATCTCGTTAATTATAACTACTCTCGATGAATTGGAAATACTCCATGATTGAGTATTCGACAGAAAGTCTTAAATTCAACAACACCCTTAAAATCCCCTTTAAACAAAAAAATATTGTTAAACTTGTCTCATTGTAAATTTTCATAATCTATTTTTTTTTATTTTTTTACTAATACAAAATCATTTATATTAATGGTCAAAGTTTTGTCTCGGTAAATGTGAAATGTTGACCATTGCATTTATTTAAGAACGGAGGAAGTATGTTTTTCTATAAGCCTATCCACAAAATTATTTTTGTTTTGAATGTGAACAGAATCCAGCTATAATTGTCCATTTTCCATTTTTGCATGTCTCTTTATTATTGTCACCAGGGGCGTAGCTAGGGGAGGGCCAGCCTTGGCTATGGCCTAGCCCAAATTTTAAAAATGTCTAAATTTTTAGTGTAAAAAATTACGTGTGAAAATCTTTTCAAGAATATTCTTTGTACCGGTCCAGTCCGGCCAGCCCAGTGCTCTGGCTCCGCCCCTGATTGTCACATACCATATTTGGTGATATTTGTGTAACTCTAATTCATTCTTAGTTTATTCTCACTTTATCAATTCATTATCAACCATATAATTCTACTTTTTCAAAAAAAAAAATAACATCACCCCTTCGGTCCGAAAAAGAAGTTTCCTTCGTTTTTTAAACTGGCTTAGACAAAATGAGACAATTCTTAGGGCCCGTTTGGTTCGGGGTAATCTCACATGAAAGCCGGAATATGATGCACGGAATGTTAGATACTCTTGTTTGGTTCACGGGTTTGAAGAAAAATCGGGAAAGTTACTGTGAAACAAATTTTAAGTATTTACTTAAAATTGATCGCAAATAATAATATGTGAGAATATTGGGTACAATCTCTAAATATGAATCCTCTGATTCTTCACTTGCAATTCGACATAAATATAATTAAAGAATTTAATTTAAAATTAAATCTTTAATCCTTCAAATATTCGAACGTTCTTCAGATCCTCAAATTTTCTTGAATTAAGAATTCAACTTGAAGGGCCTCCGGTTTTCAAGTGGCTTGATCTTCAATAAAAGGGCCGTTTTAAGGCTTGATATTTTGTTTAAGGACCTCCCGGGATATATGGCTTGATCTTCAATTGAATTTCAATTCAATCTTCATATGAGTATCTTCAAATCTTCAAAGATTCGTTCTTCATATCTTCGAATCTTCAAAGTCTTGTTCTTCAGATATTCGAATCTTCAAGCTTCGTTCTTCAGATCTTCGAACGTTCTTCAACTTTTGGATTTATTTTATTAAGAATCGACAAAATCACGAAGGATTATTCGTATATTCTTAATAAAATTCGTGGCTTAATCTATTCATCTTCTTCAGAATCGTTCAGAGCCTTTCGGGAGTTCTTGAGAGCTTTTCTGCAACGTTTCTTCGTCTGAAAATTCTTCTCTCTTTCTTTTCAACTGAGCCCCCTATTTATAGGTGTGAGGGGGTGAAAAATGCTTTAGGGTTTCATGAAATTCGTTCATATGCTTAGGGCCTCAAAGAAAATGGGCTTTGGGCTCTATTTGCTTGTATTTGATAGCTAAAAAAATCAGCACTTGTTTGATGTATCTGGACAACCTTTTTAACAAGGTTCGCAGCCATTTTCCATGCATATGGACTGATTTCTTAACTAGATTCGTCTTCCTCTTCATATATTGGATCATGTCTCTTATTTATCAGGCCATTATTTAATATTGGGCTCAAAATAAATAAATTAATAGGATTGATCCATTCTTTTAAAGATTTAATTTATAATTGAATCAATTGGGTATGTAGACCCGAATTAATTTAATTATTAAATTTTATCCGAATGGATCCATATTAATATTGTTATAAGGCCCAACAACCATTACGAGCAGCCCAACAGAATTGAACATTGGTCCAATAATTTTTATATGTCCACAGTTACATTACCGGGATGTTATATGGAGGGGAATGTTAAACTCATCCATACCTTAGGTTATCTCACATTCCCGGGGTGATCTAATTTTCTTCCGAAAATACCTTCAATTCATTATCTCTTTTCATTTAATTTATTTATATATTCAACTGTTATCAAATTTAATTTTTTGTGACTTTATAAAACTTTTAATGTAATGTCTAAATATGAAAATTTTATTTACTAAAAAAATATTTATTATTGATAGAGATCGGTTAGTTTCATGGTCAGTCGAACATCGTAAATTGTGTAACAACCTTTTAGGTGGAACAGATAGAGTATTAATTATATTTGAATGTCTATTCTTGTTATTTGCATATTTTTTGCCTTAACATTTAAATTTTTTAAGGTATTTATGATATACTCCGTAAGAGTTATAAATTTTTTAAGAGGCATAACAATAATTCATCGTATCTGCAATATAAGATATCATTCAACCAAATAAATTATGACACATTCTCTTGATATTAACCAAACAAAAAATGAGAATGAATTGAATACATTCTCATCAATATAATATACCAACCATATGACATTCACATGTAGAGCCCGTTTGGTAGCACGAAAATCGGCTGATTTGGCTGATTCTGTTGAAATTTATGAAGTTCTGACTGAAGTAGCTGCATTAGTTGATTCTGCTGATTTAAGAAAAAAAAATTAAAACACATTTTATTAATAAAATAAGGAAAAAATTATATGTAAAAATAGCTAAAATGATCGTCTACAGTAATTTCAGCCAATACAGTCAGAAAAGTAACTTCAGCCTTACTTTTTCTGCTTATTACACAATTCACCGCGCGGAAGCAAAAGTTATGTGTTTGGTGAAAAAAAACTGGCTGATAAGTCCGATAAGCCGAAAAACAGTATTACCTAACGACAGGTTAATATGAAACCAAACATACCTTAAAGTTAAGTTCCAGCGTCATGTACGGTAGGCGAAGATGAAGGTGGCAAAACATTATCGGAACATCCAAAACAGAATCATCCTCCTCGTCCTTAGCCACCTACTCTCTCAGTCCACACATTCCTTCGCCGCCGCAAACCTAAAGCCACCCCCAGTCCCACTTCTACCCGTCCCTTCAGCACTGCAGCTTTCATGGCAGCTTTCGGAGATGGCCATGTTCTTCCATTTCGGACCCAACACTTTCACCGACTCGGAATGGGGTACGGGTCATGCCGACCCGTCAATATTCAACCCAATTAATCTTAATGCCACCCAGTGGGTAACTGTTGCCAAGGAGAATGGGTTTTCAAAAGTGATCCTCACTGCTAAGCATCATGATGGGTTTTGCCTCTGGCCTTCAGAATACACTAATTACTCTGTCAAGTCTAGTCCTTGGAGAAATGGGTCTGGAGATGTGGTGGGTGAGTTGGCTCAGGCTGCAAATTCTGTTGGTGTCCAATTGGGTCTTTATCTTTCTCCTTGGGACAGACATGAACCTACATATGGGGTGACTCTTGATTATAATGAGTACTATTTGGGACAGATGGCTGAATTGCTTACCAGGTAACACTTTTTTGTTGTTGAAACATCTCATATCAAAAAGTTACTAGCATTCCTACTATGTAGACTAATAAGAAAGTTGTAGTTCAATGTCTTATTATGAATTTGTATACTGTATGAATTTGTGATGCTGGTAACTTGATAGGAATAATACTTTCTTGTATGAAAGTTTGTATCTTTATATTTGGTTGACGTGAGTTAGCTTTAAAATATGCATATGTTTGCCTTTGGTTTTTCGAATGCATCTAAAACAGTAGTAGATCTTACTTAGTGTAGTAGATTATCTAGATTAATTAGTAATTACAAATCTATTATGTTGTCGTTTTTTCAAGATTAATGTGTAACATGGATCCTATAAGATCACAATATTGCTCATCTCCCAGCATACATAAGTTGCTGCTTGAGTTCTATGTTTTTTGGTTTTTTGGAGTTAACTAAAATGATATTGGATCATTATGATTGATTACCTTTTGTGTTTTAGTTCAGAGCCTTTTTCATTGTTGGAGTTTTTTTGAACTTGCTTAAGTTATTTTTTTAATGAGAAAAATCTCAAGTGGTTTGGGAAGTGCTTGATTTGATATCCATAAGAACTATATATAATGTAGATATGGGGAGATCAAAGAAATATTCTTGGATGGTGCAAAAGGAGATAATGAGAAGGATATGGAGTATTACTTTGATGATTGGTTCAGCTTTATTCATCAGTACCAACCTGGGGCTGCAATTTTCTCCGATGCTGGCCCTGATACCAGATGGGTAGGAGATGAAGCTGGCATTGCCTCCACTACTTGTTGGTCCCTTTTCAATTGTAGTGATGCAACCATAGGTGGAACCGATACCGAGTGAGTTTTCTTTTCCCATATCACTCCAATGACATTATCACACCTTTTTATAAAGTACTACAGCCGAATTTCTTGATTGAATGTAGAAAAATACGGAGTACTAGACAAGTAAAATATACGAGAGGAAAAGTAAAACCTAACCTCAAGGACGAATGATGTGGCGTGCAAAGACTTTGAAATAATTCCTTTTACTTTTTGGGGGCGATAATTGCTTAGACATCCCTTAAATCCTTAGTGTTGTTGAGAATTACAAATAGGCTCCTTAAAGAGTGACTTCCCCCCAAATAGCCCTTTTAGCACTGAAAGCTTATAGAATGTAAGCATCTTCAGATCAAATTTTGTGTTTTGATTCTTTTGAATGCATTTTATCAGCTATAACATTTCAACTTTCTATTGAAAAGACTCTGTGAGACGTCAGGTAAAATCCAATTATCTTGGAGTGCTCTTTTAAAGTTCTTAATACATACTCCGTATATCATTATACCCTTAGTGCCGTTTCAGGAATATTTTTTCGTGAAGTGTTCATTTATAATATTCTGAGACCTCGAGTGTTATTTTGTAATTTGATGATCCAGTCTCCAGGTAAGCAGATGCAGTTAACTCTTGTTGTTCTAATGATCTCCTAACAGATATCTAGGACAAGGTGACCCTGCAGGCCACGATTGGGTGCCTGCTGAATGTGATGTTTCAATACGACCTGGCTGGTTTTGGCACGCATCAGAGATTCCCAAGACCGCGATGGACCTTCTTGACTTATACTACAAATCAGTTGGCAGAAACTGCCTCCTATTGTTAAACGTACCACCAAACACTTCTGGCCTAATATCCGATGAAGACATACTAGTTCTCAGAGAGTTCTCTGAGATCAGGACATCCATTTTCTCCCACAACCTGGCAAAACGTGCCTTTCCTTCTGCAAGCAGTACAAGAGGTGTAAGTGATATCCGTTTTGTCCCCGAAAACGTTCTCAAAGAAGGGATCTTTACTTATTGGGCCCCAGAACGGGATCAATCAGAATATATATTGTATCTGGATTTTCAAGAACAGTATACATTCAATGTGTTTGAAATTAAAGAGCCAATCCATATGGGTCAGCGGGTCATCACATTCCATATTGATGTGTTGAATGAACGAGGGGAATGGGAGGAAACTGTAAATGGAAGTACAATTGGGTATAGGAGGCTTCTGTTGTTTCCTACGGTGAAAACGAATAGCATAAGACTTGTCATTGACAAGTGCAGAGAAGAACCTCTGATTTCTTATGTGGGATTGTATTTGGACCAGTTTTCTGTTGTGGAACATCATCATAGTAATAAGTTTAGTGTTTGGTCTGGGTTGCTACATTCTATTAGCGACCGTGTTCATTGGAAGTCACTTGTTGCTTCTGTTTAGGAATTGCTGGAAGCATTTCAACCCAATATGTGTAATCTTCCTTCTGCTTTACTCTCTCAGTATGCAAAAATGCATTGTAAGTTTGTAACTACTCCGTATATTAAATTATTAATAATATCACTTGCCTTTTCATGGCACCACTTTTCTTAGGGTATGATTGCAAATAATGCTAATGAATTCATTTTTGTATGTTTGGCTTAAATATGCCGAAGTTAGTGAAATATGAATGGTTTCTTAATTTTTCCCACATCACTAGATTTCTTCGTGTTTATATAATTATACAATAAACTAAATATAAAATGGGTTTGAACAAATATCTTATACTACGTAAATTTTATTGACTGTGAGTCTGTTACTCGACTCTTTTGCATCAACAAGTTTTTTTGTCATTTTCTACTTTTGATATTTTCCCATGAATATTACAAATTATATTTAAAAGACAAAAATATGACTTATTCTAAAGTTTTTCAAAAAATTGACATATTCTGTAGTGACTCGTCATCTGTCAGTTATTTATCACTATGGAGTACACTGTTTTTCGGCTTATCATGTTTATCGGCCAACTTTTTCACCAAACACGTAATTTTTGATTTCACGCGCTGAATTGTGTAATAAGTAGAAAAAGTAAGGTTGAAGTTACTTTTCTGGCTGTATTGGCTGAAGTGACAATAGATGACCGTTTTAGCTATTTTTACGTATAATTTTTTCTTTATTTTATTAATAAAATATATTTTAAAATTATTTTTTTCTTAAATCAACAGAATCAGCCAATGCAACCACTTCAGTCAGAATTTCATAAATTTCAGCAGAATCAGCCAAATCAGTCGATTTTCGTGCTACCAAACGGGCTCTATAACTATAGTAACTTTGTTAGGTTAGTCGTACATACTGAATCAGTGACAACTTAACATTTTTGTCTACAAAAAATTGCCCCACGGCTAAATACAAAATAATAAATTACTACGTGACAACTTAAATTCTCCCTATTAAGTTTGATCTTTTAAAATGGAATTTAGGTCTTAAAATTGTCTTTAATTAAACTATCATGGAACAGATCCAAGAGGGAAGGTAGACACAACTCTAGTTTGCAATAATAAAGTTGAGAACAGAAGCTGTTGGCTACTGAAAATTGGGAGAATAAAAAAAGGCTCCCCAATGCTTCTGATGATAATATAGCTCCACTAATTTATGTGATCTTGATATCACGTAGAAGCCGAGCAGCTACAGCACCATATCTGCGTGTTTCCCATTCACTGAGCTTTCTATTTTCCAGATCAGTGATTAGCTTTTCATCCCCTACGCCTTCATTTCCTCGCAAATCATCCACCTTGAAACTATCATTATCTTCTTCTTCGTCGTCTGATTCATGTTGGAGTTCTTTGTATCCACCCGACTTCATCTTTTGAGCAGAAAAATCACCTTGTGATGTACATTCTGAGATCCCTCCAGATCGTTTTAAGCTCATTATGAACAGTTGGATACTTGGATGCTGGTAGTCACTATCCATCTACAAGGAAGGTAATTGATTCCAAATAATGAAAAAAAACACGTTTTGCTTCAGTATGGAGTACGTTAAAGAGTTTGGATATCCATAGCATGTTATTATGTCGGCATATCCATCTATAAGGAAGATGATTGCTTCATTTTTAAGATTCAACCCGAAATCCTAATATGGTACCACAACCAATGCCCACATAGCGATGGTGTAGGTCTCATATTAACAAAGCCAGTCTGAAGTGTCAGGTTGTGAAGGGTATACGTCTCTATTGGGAAAAATGCTTCGACCCATGTGAGGTGTCGGAATTGGTAATTACCTTCATAAAAATGGTACTCCAAATAATTCAGACAATGTGTCGATCCTTGAGGAGTGTACGCTTCTATGAGATAAACATGCACAGTTTACATGAGGTATCGGGTTATGACAGAATGTTTCCTTGAGAAAATAACAAATAAAAATAAAATAGTAATGTCCTGGATATGTGAGGTGCCTAGCCTTGAAGGAGGGTTAAAGAATTTGTCCAGCATTGACTAAATATAAAATAAGAAACCATTTAGAACTTTAGATTTGTACCTATCATATTAGTATTTCACCATGGATCTTTAAGTTCTAATAGGGTACTAAACTATAATTATAAGCATGGATATTGGGACACAAATGTTTGAGATTGTGAACATAGTTAGGATGTTCACCTGAAAAAAACGTATTTGGTTCTTTCTAGTCATACCTCATCTCACTGTTTGGGATCTTTCTGGTGTCTGAGCCTTTTGCTTTGGTCTACTTTTATCTAAATATTGTTGGTCTAGTCTACTCGTATCAGAATACGTAAAGTAATAAACAAAAGAAATAAGAACAAGAGCGACACCTTAGAGCCTTAGTTCACTAATGAGGTTATCATTTACCAATTAACACTCATTATAGTTCACCTAAAGTGTTTCATTTCTTGGGTAGATAGCACAAATATATAGAAATAACTAGCCACTACCTTTGCTTTTGGAACAGTCTTCACCTCAAAGTTTCTCTTCCATATTTCAAGCATCTTTTCATGGACATTAGTTGAACGAATTTCATATCCTAACTGCAATATTGGAAATAAGACATTAACCGACTTAAATGAAAAGAACATGATTTGCTTGATTCTAAGCAAGTTTAAAATTGCAATACCAAAATTGTTGTTTTGGGTCCTGACAGTGCAAGAATTGTCTGCAAAAGTGGTTCCAAGAGGTGTTCTGTATAAACCTAGTTAGCACAAGGAAGAAGATAGTGTGTGTGTGTTAAAAGCAGCAGTGGGGTAGAAAATGATAAATAGTAAAGGCTACAGGTTTCAAATAACAGAGATTAATTGTGATTCTCGTGAATCTAATTCTTGAGACATTCGCATCGGATACATGCAAAAAATATAAACCCGCATTTAAGGCATTAGATTAATGCTCCAACTTTTAGGTCGCTAGCATACATCTTAATAAGGTATTAAAGTCTCTTAGGCCTTGTTTGGTTCAAAGGAGGGGAGGGAAGGGGAGAGTGAAGGAGAGAAGGGAAGGAAATGGGAAGGAAGGATTTTGATAAAAATTTGTGTTTGGTTGGAAGAAATAGGAGGAAAGATTTAATGAAAATATTTTCACAATTTACTTTTATTTGATAGCTTACTTAAAAAAATAGATACATGTCTAACTATTGTGAATATTACTCCTATGATCATGAGTCATAATTTTATTTTATTTGATTTTTTACTTTTTTAATTTTATAAATTTTCATCTTTCAATTTTGAATTTTTATTTTTTATTTTATTATTAAAATTTTTTATTTTTAATTTTAGAAATTTTTAATTTTTAATTTTTAATTTTTAAAATTTTTAATTTTTTAATTTTTAATTTTTTTAATCTTTAAATTTTTTAATTTTTTAATTTTTTAATTTTTCAAAACTTTTTGTTTTTTACCTTTTTATATTATAACGTTTTTTTCATTCACGTAGGAGATGGATAGTTTGTAGTTATCAACACGTTTCCTCCGAAATACCCCGATTTGGGAGGTTTAGAATGGGAGGGAGTGGAGGATTTTGAAAATCTTCCACTTTCCTCCCCTTCCCCCCTATTTCCCTTAACCAAACACACACAAATCCTCCACTTTCCTCCCCTCCCCTCTGAAACCCTCCAACCAAACAGGGCCTTAAGCTTCAACAAGCAATTCAATTGAGGTCTCAACAGTTCTATTTGTAAGAGTGCTACAATGGAAGTTAAGAAGAAGAAATAATGATGTTACGGAACTCACAACATCTGTTCCAATGATGTAGTCAAATGGTGGTTCAACAGCTTTTATGTGATTTTCATCACCCCAATTCAACTCCGCGACCTTTATGGAACCAAATGAATCTAAAAGTAAAACATGATTCTATGTCAGGCCAAAATGATATGCATATTCACAGTACAAATGTACCCTCTCTGTCCCATAAACAAAACAAATAAATCTGATTTGAAAACTAAACATTAAATTCATGTAAACCAAGCAGCAAAGGATTTAAGTCGGTTACTCACAACAATGGAAATAAGTTCTAGAGATATAAAATCTTGGACCATTCATGATTTGTAGAAGTTCTAACCTTGATTGAGTTGACAAACAATGAAACGTTATAACTTTTTTTCTTTCGGGAGGGGGGGGGGGGGGGGGGGGGGGGCAATAAAGTATCTATTTGGTAAGAGGAGACAGAGCAGTGCTTATGTATTCAAAAGTAAAGAAAAACATTTTTGTCAAAAGGAACAACCTTAATTTTAATCCTAAGAACCTTAAGAAAACACTGGTTGTGGTTGGATACCTGGATCAGATATCGTTTGCATTACTCTAGAAGTATTACGCTCACAATTTCTCATCAACAACGGCAACACCTCTACTTGGTCTGTCGAAATAACATCACATCCAAGTAATGCCATGCCTAGAAAGGTGGGTCCACTTCAGTTTCATATTGACCATATGAATAGAGCATAAATGGAACCAATTGGGGAGAGATGCAAAGAATTAGCTTTACCAAATCCAGCTACTCCACAGCCAGCTCCAAGCTCAATCACACGCTTTCCCTTCAATTTGGCTGGGCAAAACCGTCCTTTCCGACAATTTTTCTCCTATATTTCATATACGATAGTTAAGTTCTTAAATTACTTATGTTTTATAGGAGATCAAAAAGGCTTTGAAGGACTTGAAACATTATAAGCCCAAAAGTTAAACATGTCAACAAGGAACAAGAAATCTTACCAAAAACTTGACCAATACCATTGATGCGTCCCAAACTGTTGTCCCCAAATGCTTGGAATTAGGATCCTGCAACAATAATGGGGAAAAGAAGGCAGACACTTAAGAGCAGACCTCTCCATTTAAAGTGAAAATCAATAATTAGTTAAATAATACTCCCTCCGTCCCACTAACAATGGGACAAGAGGGAGTGATACGCAAACCAATAAAAAGTAGTTTATGTGGTTGATATTGAATTGATAAAGTAAAAAAAAAGTAAGAATGATTTAGTTTAGAGCCACATAAACTTTATCAAATTTGGTATGGGGCAATCTTAGTGGGATGGACCGAAAAGGTAAAATGAGACAATCTTAGCGGGACAGAGGGAGTAATGAAAAAAGGAAAAAGTTATTAACTTCTGAATCGTCATCTTGCCAACAAGAAGTTATAAAATGAGGTTTGGGTAATTTTGACTGACAACCATCCAGTGCACACCAGTACTTCAATGGAAGATTGAACATTAATACTACGGAGTATTACACAAAAGGAAAACTGGAAAAGATACGGAGTATTAATTTTAAATAGAATCAATTTAACTAAAATATAGAGAGCATATAAAATGATGATGACATATTAGTATGCTACCAAAAGACTGATTACCTGAGAAAACTGAAGTTGGTATCCTAGAGCCTCAAACATGATTACAGATGTGTGTGGAGAATTCAATCTGGAACAACATTCAATTTTCAAGTTGCAGCTATGATGAATCCATGCGCCTCAAAAAAAGATGTTCAAATGTATTTTATTTCCCAAAGAAGTCCAGTTCAATCAAAGAAGCTATTTTCATAGAATTTACCAAAACTTGCAAAATAAGAGTCCCAGACAAGTTTGGAACTTTAGATGTAGTACATTGTTCTTTGCTCTTTTTTGGCACTCAGGTAGTATTATTACATTTTTATTAATGCCGAGACTTGAGATAATCCAATCACAATACAAGGATAACAAAATGATGCAATAATGTAGCAGCCTGAAAATCCATACCTATATGGCTCCATCTGAAACCGAGTACTGGATGAAGCAGGTCACTCTGTATTGCTGCCAACAAGAACATACAAAACAATATCATCATCCGAACTTTCTTCATCTCTTTCAAATACCAATTTCTCTATTTCTTCCAGATAATTTTAGCTACGCGTTAATCAGCTTAAATGAGATCAAAGTTTTCAACTTTTTCACTATTCGGATTTGAGGTATGCAGATTAGCAAATATTGTGAATGAATAAAAGACTGCAGATAGAGTGGGCAGGAAAATAAATACTCACGTCAAAGAAGATTCAATTTTTTAGAAAACTGAAAAAATACTTTGAACAAATGAAAGACTTCCGTAAGTAATTGCTAGCTAACCTGATTGGAGTGATTTCTTCGCTGATTGTAGGATGTGGTTCCGCAGCTCAATGGTGAAAATGGTTCTTAGGGATGGGTAAAAAAACAAAAAATGCCTGGTATCGGATAATGGTGACATTTTTTCTATCAAATCGATAATAGGTGGAGTATACTTTGGGTCCCAATTCCCAAACTACACCGCACCAAAACAAAACAAAACAAAACAGATCGGAAATACTCTCAATTTGGTTATTGTACAATTAAGATGTGATTATACTCTCAATCACATCTTCCTACTTTTAAAAAAGTCAATCAAATCCCCGAACTTTGTAAAACGTTTAATTGTGTTCATTTGCAGGTTACTTGCCATGTCAGCAGATCACTCATTAACGTGGCACACATGTAGCAGCCCACTCAACAGTGACTGTGCTGACGTAGCGCGCAAGTGGAGGTCCAGTCAGCAATTTGCTGATGACGTAGTGCACATGTGGACCGTCACGTGTGCGCCATGCCGACGGGTGACCTGCTGACATGGCAAGTGATGGATAATCTACCCGGGGGTATATATCCGGAGGGTTATTGCGGGGAATAACTTAGAGAGAAGTCAGAGCGAGTAGGTAAATGTAGAGAGAGAGTGTATTCAGTATGAATGTCGTGGTTACAAACGGGGAAATGGGGTGCTATTTATAGTAGCAATAAATGCCGGGCAGGGACACGTGTCAAGCGCCTATTGGCCGAGGGGTCACCTCAACTGGTTGGCGTTGGCAGCCGCATGTGGCCGCATTTAATGCGGCTGTTGGATGGGACGTCTGTGCAGGGTACGGTGATCTGCACGCATGTGAGGCGGATATCATGTCGGGAGAGGTGCCCTCGGCTGCAGAGGACTAGCCGAGGGCTCTTAGTGCTGAGGGGCCCTGAGTGCCGAGGGCTCACAGTGCCGAGGGCTACTGTTTTCGCCGTTTTCTCCCAGTTCCTCTGTTTGTTCGAAATATCCATGTTGTGATAGTTTGGAGCCTTCGGCCAGGGGGGCGAAGGCACCCCTGGTGCAAATTGTGGGCTGCTTGGTACTCTGGGCGCCGTGATTTGGGCCTGTTGGGCCTCCTGGGCCTGTTGGGCCTTCATTGGTGTAGTAGGAGTCTGTGGGCCGGGTGTTCCCGGGCCATATACTCCATCAGGAGTCCCTCACTCCTTTTGCCGAAAGGTATTTGAGGGAAAAGGAGTAATTTGTGCTTGCCCTTTGATGTTGTCCTGTCGTGATCTCTGAAGTTGGTGAGGAGTTGTTGCTTTTATGTCCCTGCCGAAGGCAGTCTCTCAGTTACCCACATGTCGGGACTTGAGGGCTTGCTTGGTCGTTTGTTGGAATTTCACTAATTTTGTAATTTAATGATTTTCCCGAGGGGGTCCTCCAGTCCCCCACTCCTTGAGGCACTTGTAAAGTGGTGAAAAGGAGTAGAGTAGTTGCGTTGCTGTTGTGGGCCGAAGGCTGACGCTTTTCGTTTCATTTTGGGGGGATGCCTCGTTAAAAACCTCATTAGGAAAAACCCTGGGGGAAAAAATCCTAATGAGGGAAAAAGAGTGCACCGAATTCCCCCAATGATGAATCGAAAATGTGAAACCTTGGTCAAAAATGGAGAATAACGGTAATGCCGAAGGCTCTTCCTTTTCTGAGGGCTCATGTGTTGATTAGCCGAAGGCTTGCTGTTGATGTCCTGGGGGCGCCGAAGGGGAGCCCCCCAATCCGGGGATCGAGGGCCTGCCGGATGAGGGCAGCAGTGGAGTTGATACCGGGGGGTCCACTGTTTGTTGATTAGTTGGTGATGAAGATACCCGAGGGCTCCCATTACCTGTGTGCCATGGGTTATCCGTCAATGAGGCAACTCCCCAGGGGCTACCCGGTTTTGCAGTGCTGAGGGGGAATCCCCGAGGGGTGCCCTGATATGAAGCCTTGGGTTCTGAAGGAGTGATCCCGAAGGCATCTGTTATGTGCTGTGTGGGGCACAACCCGGGGGCGTCTCTGGGTAAGTGTACCCGGAGGCTCTCCTTGATGTAGCGGAGTGGAGTAGAAAACCCGGGGGCTTCCAGAATGTAGCCGTTGGAAATATAGCCGTTGGAATATGTAACGTCAGGATATAGCCGTTGGGGGGGACACGTGGCGCGTGATGGCTTGCTGTCCGTGGGCGGCATCACTGATTGGGCGAAGACGCGGTGTGTAATGATGGCGGTCCATCCGGAGGCCCGGAATCCAGGCCCAAGCCCGGATTCCATCGCCTATAAATACCCCAAGGCCAGAGCCCTTTCTTCTTGTGCGATCATCTGTCTTAGCGAAGCTCTGCCAAAAATTATAGAGAGAGATACTCAAGCCTTCGGTAAACACTCAGCTTTCAAGGTCAGTTCCCCCCTGCCTTTCTCCTTCTAGTTTAGCTGTGCCTTGTGCCCCTAGGTTAGGAGATAGAATTTTTTAGGAAACCCTAGTTTTCCCGAGCCTTCGAATTAGTGAGCAGATGTCATCACAGAGCGACTCCCAGGATATCTCGGGGGAGCCTTCGGTAGAGATGGAGACATGCTCAGATGTGGAGTCGTCGAGTGTGGAGTCTTCGGCGGGTTGTGATGCCGCAGTGGCCATGGAAGTGGAGAAGGACCTCCAGGCCGAAGTCGAAGCCGAGGGCTTCGAACAAGAAAACGAGGACGAGGAGCTTGCCCTCGCCGTGCAGACCGCCGAGCAAGAAGAGGAGAGGGAGAGGCTGAAGGTGACGGTTGCCATTCCTCCCCCCAGGGTGCCGGGGAAGCCAGCTCCTCCCGGCCATTGGACCCGACGCCCATAAGTGTGGCTCCCGGGAAGAAAAACAAGATGAAGGCGGCCCCGAGGAAGAAGCAAGCGGTCGTGGATGCCGGGCGGCCGGTGGGCATACCCGAGGGCCATTCGTTCTTGAATACTGCCGCTCTAGAGCTGAAGACGAAGGCGTCCCCGGCAGAATACCAGTCCACCCAGATGCTGGTTGGCCCTTCGGCGCGCGTGGTGGAGCCCAGGGCGGATGATTTGCTGCGATATGCGCCCGAGGGGTGTTTTGCTGCTCACACCCTCTCGGTGGAGATGGGGCTTCGGTTCCCGCTCCATCCTTTTCTCTTGGAGTATCTGAGGTTTGTGGGGTTGGCCCCCTGCCAGCTAACGCCCAACAGCCACTCCTATGTGGCCGGCTTCCTCTCTTTGTGTTAGAGCCGGGGGGTCGAGCCCACACTTGATCAATTCTTCATGTCCTTCAACCTCTGCCGGGGGGACATTCAAACGCTGAGGGCTTTGCCAACCTTCAGCAGGTACCGGAGTTCCGGCTTTTTGACGATGTGCCCTCGTCCCACAAGGGGTGGAAGGAGAGGTTCTGCTACATTCGCCTCGAAGAGAACCCCTTCCCGGCCCAACTCCGCAATAGCTTCTGGCGCCATCCGAAGGTGGGGAGCGTAGCTCTGGAGAAGAATGGCAAAGTGTTTGCCAGGAAGCCGGAGGGGTCTGACAAGCACGTCAAGATCAGAGACGTCACCCTTCCAGAGAAACTGCTCAGCTTGGGCTTCCGGCAGTTCAGGCCGAGGGGCTCTTCGGATGAAAGATACCCTCCCCTCGATCGAGTCTTCGAAGGAGCTGGAGGTGATCACCGAATGGTTCACTGATGCGTTGATAGTTCTCTCTTATTCCCCTTTTTTTATGACGTAGTGACTGGTAGCCTTCGATCTAACCCCCTTGTGTTTTTTTTTGTTGCTTGCAGGTAATAATATGGACGTCGGTTCCCTCTTCGCTCTAAAGAATGCGAAAGGGAAGAAGAAGGCCCCGGGGGGCGCTTCTGCCAGGGAGGGGCCCTCTCAAACTGCTGTCGCCACCGCTGGCGCCGGAGGGTCCAAGGGTGCCGGGCCCGTAAAAAAGAAGAACACCGGCAAGGGGACCGAGCCCCCGGCCAAGAAGCCGAAGACTACCGCCCCTACCAAACAGCCGATCACCGATGTGGTGGTGATCGTTGACGAAGGGCACGCCTCTGCCTCCACCCCCCAGGAACAAATCAATCAGGAGTTCTTCGGGCGGGAGAGGTTGGAGGCGTTAGTACCGAAGGGAGCCTCCGTGTTGGAGGGCAGTCTGAACCCTTCGGCTCTGATGAGCCAAATGCTGCCGTCGGCCGACCGACTAGCCCTTGCCCGGTTGGACGAGGGATCCCTCGAGGCGAAGGTCCTCCTGAATGCTGCCTCCGTAAGTCACCCCCCCTTCTTTGTTCATGGTTGTGCTTTCCTTCTGTACTATGTTCGTTGTGCCTTATTCTTGCCTTCGTGAATTGCAGAGCTTTATGGGCCTCTGCGAGCACCTCCGGAGGGAGGCCAAGGGAGTAGCCGAGGGGGAGGCCGCCCTCCTCAAGAAGAAGCTTGTTGAAGCCGAGGACTCTCTTCGTCTGGCCACCGACGGCATAGAGTAGAGGGTGCAGGCTGCCAGGGCCGAAGGGGTCAATGAGGGACTGGCCAGAGCCGGGGAGGCCGCCGCCGAGGCCGCCCGCAGTGCTGCTGATGAAGCCCGCGCGGCTCAAGAAGAGGCCATCTCCAAGGCCCGAGAGGATGCGGTGACCAGCTTCACAGCCGAGGGGTGGAAGGCTGAAGACCGGAGGGAGTGGCTCGCTTCGGTGGTGGGGGCTTCAGTAGACGAGTGGGTCGGAGGCCCCGGAAAGATGTGGCTTGCTGAGAGGGGCTACTCGTACTACCAAGGCGGGGAGTTCTTCACCCAACGCCTCATCTACCGGAAGCTTGCGAAGCACTTTCAGGTGGCACCGGAGGAGTTCCGTCCCGAGGCTTATGGCCTCCCCCCCCCCCCCCCCCACCACCACCAGCCAGATGTCAGGATCCCGCTCCCCGAGGGGGAAGAGAGACCAGTTCTTGAAGACTCGGAGACCCTCCGGGAGTGCGGCCTTGGGGGCGAAGAGGATGAAGCTGAGAGCGAGGCAATATCTACAGTCCCCCCTTCTTGAATTGTATTCCCCCCTTTTGTGTTGTAATTGTTGGCCTCGGCCCCCTTTGTAAAGCACAATCAAACTTCCTTTTTTTTTTGAATGAATGAGTATATATGCCCTTGGGCCTTTGATATACAATATGC